GCTCGGCAGCCGCTGCGTGCGACGGTCAAACAGCCCCGAATCGCCTGCTGCTCTGGTGCCAGCACAGGTGGTTGGCGAGTGCCATTCCTGGGAACGATGGTCACGCTGCCATCGGTGGCTGGGTCAGGTCCCGGCACGGGCAGAGGGCCCCGTTCAGCCGGGGCTGGGCACTGCTGGGCTGCTCCTCGTTCCCTGGGAGCGGGCGGTGCTGCTGCCTTCCCCGGGGCACCGGCGCTGCTGCGGGGGCTGAGCGGCCGTGCCCGGGCTGCCCTGCGCTCCGGGGCTCTGTCGGGGGGACACGGGGGCTTTGGCAGCTGAGTCCCCTCAGCACCGTGGGGAAAGGGTTACTGGCAAATAAACACCGGGAGCGGGTACAGAGGGACACGCTTGAAAAACGCAGCCCCCGCTGGGCACAGACTGTGACAGATGCCTGGGTTTATATACCAGAGTTTTCTTGCACACGTGCAACACGTAAACTCGAGTAGATCTTTACCAGGTACCAGTGTCCCTCAAGAACACTTTGCTCTCGCTATTTACAGTGCTGGGGTGGACGTGGTCTGTCCCAGGAAACCCTGCCGGGGTAGGTAAATATGTTCATTCTCATTTTACAGATGGGTAAGCAGAAACAGAGAGATACCAAGTGACTTGCCCTAAAGGTTAAACACCAGGTCTGAAACATAACCCGGGACTCCTGACTGAAGAACTCGTGGGGCTGTTTCATTAAAGATATCCAGGAAATTAAACCATTTAAAAGTAACAGGCATTGTAATTCTAAAACTCTCCTGCAACGTGGTCTTCTAAATTCACAAAACTAATTCAGTTTCAGGATCCTGTCATGAAATCACAGACCAGCTTTGTTTTTAAGCTTCAGTGCAACCAATATTTTTGTCCCACTAACAGAAAACGTTTTACTGTGCTGCAGTTAGAAACTGCCCCAGTCCAAGGCAGACAGGCTGGGCCATTCTGCAGCATCACTTTGTGTGCAGGGATTGAACTTTTTGTTGCCACTGGATTGTTTTATGTCCCAGACTTTTTCACCTTCTATTGAAGTTTTCTCCTTTTTTTCCTTTGTGTTTTGTTGGTTTTTTTCTTCCCTGTTTCATAACCTTGTGGAAGTCCTATCCTCCCCTAAACCTAAAAGGGGCTAAAGTTGCCCTCTGGAGCTCCTTGCCATGGACAACGTGACAATGCACAGTGTTCCAGCCTGGGGGTGACCCTGTATGTGCCAGGGAATGAGCTGGGGTCACAGTGGTGACCGGTCACTGTGTGTGGGGAGTACAGGCACAGACTGGGGTGGTGTCTGTCACCTCTAACCATAGTCCCCCTTCAGAGGTGACTGAGACTATCAGCATTCTCTGCGTGGGTCATTAGGTAGAATTACCTTGTTCATGTTCATCCCTCTCCACAGTGATCGTGAGCAGTAGGTAATGGGAGTATTTTAATTGGATTGATTCTTCAAATGATAAAAATTCACTCTCATGTCATGTCCGATCCTTGTAGGTGGTGAAATTTACAGTCTTGGGGTGTCTGTTTGTCCTGGGTTGAAAGTCTTCTTGAAGAACCAAAGTTCAGAGTTTGACCTCCGTGGGACCCCCTTGATCACACATTTTCTTGTAACCCTGCAGTGTGGAATGCCTAGCAAATAGAGCTGAACAGATTTTTTTTCCTTAAATGTATCTTCGGTTATATGTGGCTTTGGTTAAATGTTGTTTGTATTTTGGTTAATGCCACTGAAATAAAAATGCCCTACAGCAAGATAGTGATGTCAGTAGTTTTTTCAACCAAAACTTTTGTGAAGCCATTTATATTCACAACTAAGAGAGCTGAGGGAACAAAAACCAGTCGTTTTGATCCAGATACAACATTTTCCCACAAATTAACTTTGCAAAAACATTTTAATGGTTTTTGCACCACTTCCAGTGGGGAATGCTGCACAGTTATAAACCTGGGGAGCCGTCACCAAATGGGTTTGGTGTCCTGTAGCTGCTGGTCCTGTCGGGTCTGCTCTTTGTGTGTCTGAGCATGCTTGGAGGCAGGCAGGGGAGCTCAGACTCCACGCTGATTTTCTTCTTCCTGTTTCCGATTTTCTTACAGTGATTTCTGTTTCCCCTCATGGATACATCTCCCCTCCAGGCCACAACTGCCTTGTGTTTACAGACTTCTCATCCTTGCAGCTTGTCTAAAGCCATATGGCAACTCTCACAGCCAGCAGTGGATTTTAGGAGTAAAGTCTCTTTGAACTTTCTGCTTGTGAATTCCAATTTTTTAAAGCTATGAATAAAGTAATTTTGGTTTATATTCAATAGGGAATGTCTTTCTAAGAGCTTCAGTTTGCCTGCTTTAGGTGCAGGGCAGCGGGGCTGCCTTGAAACCTACAGGAAATCCTTCATTACCTAGAGACCTGCATGCGAGCAGCTTGGGGAGTTGTGTGTCCTGCTTAAAGCAGAGATGCTCGATTTCTTTATGGCAAAGTCAATCTAAATACAATTATCTGATCACAGCCTAATACCTTCTAAAGAAGCCTTGCACCTCATAGATGATTTTTTTTTTTTAACGTGCTAAAATTCAGGAAAAGCTAAACCACAAATTATGTGCATACCTGCATTCAGGTGACTCTGTTAGGTTATATCCAAGTTACAATTTTATTTCATCATTTTCACAATAGAAGCTATGATAGGGGTAATGCATGTTGCACATTGCCCCGGAGCACAGCTGGTTTGAGTTAGAAGAAGATCTCTGAAATCTCTCATCCATGCCATCAGTTCCCACCCAAGCCCCCAGACACCAGTTCCCACCCAGCTGCATAGGAGTGCTACTTAAGCTCTTGTAAACACAGAGTGGTAAGTATGGAGGGTTTCTCTCATTTGGACAAAACAACGCTTGCTTTAGATAACAATTGTTTAACAGTCACTGCTGGCATGAGGATGAGTAGCTGCTAAGAGCCCCATATTCCTGCAGAGCATTCCCTGTTTTACTGATGTGGTCTGGGCTGCATCCGAGTGCTCTGCAGCAGTGCTGGGCTCCTCACACCAGCTGAATAAAGTTAATATTGGATACTTGCTGTGGGATGGTCTAGACGGAACGACATGACTGGTTTAACTGAGGAAAAGCCATTGTTAGTCTGCTTGGTGTCCTGCAGGAATATGGGTGGGATTTTGGAACTGAGGCGTAGCTCCCCTCAGTCTTTTAAAAATCCTAGTCCTGTATCATTTGTTTAGCCCCAGTGTCCTTCTTTATGTTAAAAGAAAAATAATTAAAAACTTATATTTAGGTCAGTTCTTGTGTTCTTTATGGCTGCAAGGAAGTGCTGTGTTAACCCTGACTTCCAAGAAGTGCTGCATATGGGAGAAAAGCTGGATAAACTGTTTTTGAACGCCTGTGGCCCTCCAGACTCCCTGCTTAAACCTGGCTGGGGCTGGAGTTACTCTCCACTTGTTCACTGCAGCAACGAAAAACTTGGGAAACCCGTTGTAAGCATAAGGAAAAAGGTATTGCAGGAAGGGCACTGAGAAGTGACCCTTAACAACTTAAACAATGATTTTGAAGTTGTTTTCGGCATCTGAGCACTGCCATCCAGCGGGCACCGGGGAATTGGCTCCTTGTCGCCCTCTACACGGAGGTACTGAGCATCCCTGAGCACTTCCAGGTAACACAGGGGAACCCCCACGTGCTTATGGGGTCCCGGTGAGCCCTGTATTCTATCCCAGCGAAAGACAGGGATGAAGGAGTGCCGGTACCCTGGGGAGGTCGCCCTTGGCCAGCAGGGAAGGCGACAGAAGGTCACAGCCCTTCATCTGTATTGCCCCATCCCAGTGGGGCTGTTGCACAGCCATGAGTTACTGTAGGGTTCAGCAGAAGACACAGGGTGTTGGGAGTCTCTAAGGGAGTTACCTGTAGTTCTTAGAGCATTCCTCCTTTTGCATTTCCAGCCCCCCAAGGAAAAGCTCTGTGCTGCGGGCAGAAATCTATTTTAAAGCTCCCTCAAAGACTGAAACCAAATTAATTACTTTACAGCTGGTTTATTGAATGGTATTTCCTATTCTCATATGAACTCAACTGGACAAAAAATCCCAAGAGAAAGCTACATTATTCACTGTGCCAACATTCTATATGCACCTTCAGATGAATTTACAGAGACAACTGTCTGTGCTGGGAACCTCTGGAGGTGGTGAGCATGAAGACTTCAGTTGCACTTTACCTGGTGGCCTGTTCAGACCTTAACTTTTGCATGTGGCATACTTGCTTTCCTGCTCCATGATTTCATTTTTAATGGCCATCACTTGTTCCTCTAGTTGTCTCAGTTGCTCTGCCTTGTCTTGTTTTGTTTGATTCAGGTCTTGAAGCTTCTTTTCCAAATCTGGAAGAGCAGAGACATGCAATGATGCTAATATTTGTTGTGTTAGTAAAACCCAGGGATTAACAGCACTTCTTTTCCCAGCAGTTTTAAAGGCAACAAGCCCATCTCAGATGGGGAATGTTATATATGCATCTGGAGGGAAAAATCTGACTTCTGGATTGTGAGAGAAGCGTGACAGCCTTAAAGAAATTAATTTCTCAGCATGTGCTTTTGTCCATCAGCTAGGATGGGGTAGGACAGGGAGCTCTTGAAGGAGTTGGCTTAAATGGAAACCCTCAGAGGAACAGTGTGTCCACTGATGTGTGTAAAGCCTGGACAATTCAGGCCTAATGAGCTTAGGTCTCCCTCATTTACAGGAATGTTTCTGCTGGTCTCTGTGAAGCTATACCCATGTAAACATACTGGTAATGAGTCAAACCCACATTATCCACTGCCTGTTTCCAACACATTTAACATCTGGGCATTTGGAGTGATTGGGACGTTCTAAAATGCATCTACTCAAGTTATCTGCTCAAAGTATTTATTTGGGCCTGTCCTGAAGAATTTGCCCTGGGATGGTCTTTCTGCTTCCGTTTTGCTGATGTTACATGGCATTTTCAGATGCTGAGCCTGGCCAGATCCTAGGCCCAAGGATTCCCAGTGGAAATGCCCAGACCTTCACTACAACAAAATTGTGCAATCAGATGAGGTGTACTCTTCAGTTCTGGTGAACTTATTATCTTCAGATAATGCCCGAAGGGGAACAAGTATGGACTGATTAAAACCAGCTCTCTAACAAGAGCCACCACACCATGGAAGAAAAATCAGAGAACGGAGTAAAGATTTAAGGTCCAAATGCCCGAAACAAACGTACGAATCAAAGCTCTCAGCTAAATCTGCAGCCAAGTTTTATGCAGATTTTGCACTTGTCTTGCTTTTAAACTCTCTGAATCAAACCACTGCAAGTCCCTGTGTGGACAGTTCTTGAACTCTGTTTATAGCAACCAATTTATGTCAGAAAAAGGACATAAGCTAAATCAGTTTAACTGCTTTTATACTGTTTGGGTAGCTTCAAGCAGGGATTTTCACCAGCTAAATTGTTTTAAAGCTGATTTCTGGTGACCCTAGTCTGTTAGTGTCTGTGGGCAAGGACTTCAGTTTACTTCATGACTCTCACAATTTTCACCACTCGCTATGGAACTGAGAACATCACCTGTTACTCGTTTAATTTTTTTTTCAGTCTCTTCAGCCAGTTTTTCTGCTTCATCTTTCAGCTGCTTCACTTTTTCTAGTGTTACTTTTGGAGGTGCTCGGGCTTTTAGCTTTTCTTGAAGAATGGTGTACTTTCTTTTAACGTCAGCAAACTCCTGTAACAAAAAGTTGTTACTCTAGTTTAAGAGCATCTCCATAATTAATTTGGTGTGCCAAAGGAGATTTTTGTACTCTTCTTAAATATTCTCTTTGAACAAAACTATGAATCTCTCAAATCTTAACAAAAAAATAAATCCATTAGTGTACATTGAACAATGCTTTGCAACACTTGCTAAAAATCAATTGAACTACCAGTGGAGCAATGTAAAGTGTTAAGGGAGTCTGAGGATATAGAGAAAATATGGTTTAAGATTTTTAAAGCTTATGCTTTTTTACTTCGAGAGGACTTTTCTGTAAATGACATTTTTGCTATGAAGCTTAATTAAAACATAATTAATTACCTCTAAAAAGGTATCTTTTACTTTTTTGGTTGTTGTAATATTTACTGGCTAACTCCATTCCATGCCAGTTTAGATTGCTGTCAAGGCAACAGTTTAGAGTTCTTCCAAGTTCCTTAAAATTTGGAAGCTTGGTCATGCTCCAAGCTTGTGCTGTGGGTGCCTGATTCCCCTTGCAGTTTCAGCAAATTTCTAGCTGCCTTAACACATTCTCAAAAATTTGAGCTACTGAAAAGCACCTGGCCAACCAATGTGGCCAACCAATAATTCCAGGTCTTCCCACAGCACTTTTCTCTGAAGGGGCATGGCATGGGATGAATGGCCAGACTGCTTCCGTCGCTCACATATTTTAATATTTGGTTTTGTGATTTGTTCTGTTGTGTTTACTGGTGCCCATGGTGACTACAAGTCTTATACACAGTGCTAGGAATAATGTCACCAAGTAGCCAGAGAAATGTGAATGTTTTCTTTCATGCGAGCAAACAGAAGTGCTATCTGCCAGAAGCCTTAAAATAAAAAAGAAATTACTCTTAACCTGTGGTATTTTACACTGCATGGCATAACACAGTTTTGGGGAGAACAGGACAACATGATTATACTTATGAATCAAAAATACTATCAAACACAGGGAATATTTTTTTCCCTTAATACGTGGTAGGAAGGCTTACATTATCAATATTCTGGGCTTGCTTGTGAGCTGCTTCTGCCTCTGCTCTTGCCTTTGTGCTCTTGCCTTTCATTCTTGTTCATCAGCGTTTTTGCCTGCAATGTGGCAATTTCATCTTCCACCTCAGACTGTTTTGCTGACAAGTCATTTAGTTCATCATTTGTCGTGTTCACTTGGTTCTCAGCCTAAAACAGAGCAATTCGAGGCTGTGGTTTCTTACACAATGTCCATCCAGCTTGCAGAGTGTAGTAATGAGGGGGATTAATGTCAACTGATTAAGGAGACCCTTCAACATTATGGAATCAGTGTCATATCTGCACCGCATTCTGGTTTCACTTACTTAAGTTTACATTAAGGAAACTTTGAGATGAAGTATCTTTTCCTAAAAATGTGTGTAGTAAATAAATTAAAACATTTACAGTGAGATACCTGTGAGATTTGCATTCTGATGCCTTTTATCTCTTCATTTAACTTTACAAAGGTGTCTTTGGAGAGTCCTTGGGATTTCACAACATTTTTTAGAGTATTATTAATTTCATCCACAGGCAGAAGAGCTTTAGCTGCCTTCCTAAAATGGAAAAATAGAAATGTGTGTAGTATTGTGGTTGGAGATCAAAGTTTCAAGTGCTCCCATGCTCACATGCAGGAATACTCCCTCAAGTCCAACAACAACTTAAAATGGTGGTTTGTAAGCTAGCAAAAAACGACCTCATTAAGGGACCTTGAGCTGCTGTATTACTGGTGAGGCTGGATGCTGCCACCTGCCTGGTGGTGCACTGCTAGTAAGGAAATCTCACTTATAGCTTAACATAATTTCCCTCTCCCTGTTTTAAACCTCCTGTGAACCAGATGTAATGGTCCATTGTGGAAGTATGAAACTGCCATAGCCTCTTTGCCTAAGCAGCTAGAGGAGCCAAGAGCTGGCAGGAGCTGTCTCCTTGCAGCACGTTGGCTCCTTCAACCTGAGCAACCATGGCCTGTTCCTCCTGGAGAAGCCCTGTGGAAACTGCGAGCCAAAATCTGCTGTCATCTGAGCTTTCCTTCCAGTGTTACTAGGATAATTCCTGGGGTATGAAGCAGTCCTACCAAGTGCTGTGCAACCAGGTGAAGTTAGCACACCAGTACAAGAATACCCTACTCACTCGGCTTCTCGTGCCCCCACCAGGAGCATCTGAGCTTCCTCCCTTTTTCTGTTTCTCTTATCTGCGTTCAGTTTGTACTTCTCACAGGGGTCCATAATGCCCTGGATTTTGCCAAGCATGCCCGCGAGCTCTTGTGGAGTCAAGGAAAGGTTTATTTGCAGAACATAACTTGCCACCTTCTCGATGTCTTCTGGAGGTGCACTCTCATCTGCAAGAGAAACAGAGCTGAGGGTGTCCTGAAGTGGCTTCTTCCTCCCAGTGAGACATGAATGATCATTATGGCTGCCTGCCCTTTGAGTTATGTGGCAGAACAAAGCTGACAGGCACAGCAAGGGGGTAAGAGAATTGTCTCCAACGTTTTGTAATTGAATATTATGCTTCCAGGTACTGCTGTTGGTATTGTCAGAACTGGGTAAAATGAGGATTTGAACCCACTTTGAACTGCGTTATTAAAATTCTGATGTAGAACTGAGCCCATGGAAGGTTTTAAATCGGTGCCCAGCACAGCTAGATGTGTCAGAGCCCATTTCTCCCTCAGCCCCCAGATCAAAGAGCCACTGGAGAGACTGGGGTGTGAATGGAGCTTTCCAATCTGGCCAGTGGGTATAATCCCTTCCCTGGTGTCACCACAATATTGAGAAAGTGGTTCCTTTGCTGGTTAATGAGAAGGGCTAAGCTACAGAGGAAACTTGGGTCAGACTCAGATAGGATGGGAATTTACAGTGGAAAAAAACGTATTTTGACAACTCTCCTTACAAATGATCTCATCCCAGTTCTTTTCTAGGAGGCACAGGCAAAGTTAGTCAGTGCTTTGTGCAGTCTCACAATCACTCCTGTTTTCTGTTCACTTCCCTTTATAGACAAGACCTTGGGTGATAAAGCAGTTGAAACATATTAAATGTTTGTGCTGATGCTCCAAGGTAACTCACCATGAATTAAGTGGAAGACATTTGCTGTGCAAGCAGTAGTGCATTCCTGAGAGCTATTTTTGGTAGAAATAGATTAATCTAAAACTACCATTCACATCACTGTAGAGCACAGCAGATTTAATGTAACTGTACACATCTCAGCTGGTACAGTTCTTAAACAACAATATGCAAAACAAAAGTTAATGAAAATATGCTTTTCTATTTATTAGTAAATGTCAGATGTCTACTAAGAAACATAAGAGAAGAGCCAAAGGTGGAATTTTCAATCGCTGTCAAATAAAAAAGACTTAAATGAAATTTTTATTCCAATTCGACAAAGTAACTTAAAGGAAGTCTTCTGCTCTGGCTCCCATTTGGATGTACAAGTATCAATGCCAAAGAACTGCCAATATGCAATCCTTAGAAATGTATGTAATCAGCTACATTCAAGAGATTAAAAAAATCCTACCACGTTTGAACTCCTTTGATCTGCATCTTTAAAAAAAAAATAAGAAAAAAAAGGTAGGGTCCTTTTTTTGCAATATTTTTCTGCAAGACTGTAAAAGGTTTTAGGGCATATATGCTTGTTTTGTTATTTTTTTATGACAGCAGTGAAGTTCTACCAGAATCCTTTGATTCCTTAAGTTACAGCTTTACGGAGCTGACGGAGCCGTATGTGTCCCAATTCCCACGCTCCCTACGGAGAGCCTCTATTTATGGGCCTGGAAGAAGGGGGTGGAATAACAATCTGAGGATGCACTGGACATGCCTGGACATTATATATTGTATGAAATTATGTTAATAGTCCTTTGCTCAGATAAAGCAGGAACTGAGGGAATTACTTGCATGCTTCAAATTAAGGAAGTTAATAAAAGATGACAATCAGAACAAAAAAACCCTATTGGAATAGTAATACCAAGTACTGTCATGTGGGAGAGAAACACTAGAGAAAAAGGGATTGAAAAAGATTGCACAGGTCAAGAGGTAGATAAGAAATTTTATGTGTATACAGATAGACCATTTTCTGGCCATCTATCATGCTATATTGTATTGGAATATATATGAAAAATTCATTAAGAAACACTGCATATTTACCTAACAAGAAGTCTTTCACTTTTTGGATGAAGTCCTTAGTTATCTCTTGGTCAATTTTAATTTGATTGTTAGCTGTCTCCAGTTGCCCATTAAATTGTGAGCCTTTAATCTTGCTATCTTCTGCCATTTTCCTAATCCGTTCAGCCTGGAAATATAATTAGAAATAACAGTGCCATTTTCTGGAGGTTATCTATCATTGCTTGGCAAATTGAGCTCTGACATAAAAATAATTTTGATCCAAGCCTCACCTGGAATAATTTGCTGTGGCTTTGAAAACTAGTAGGAGACTCCTTTGGGGAACTATAGAAGTTGCTACATCATGGCCTTCATCTGGCCTCAGAAAAAGCCCACAGCAAGCAGTTTTTCTCTCTGCAACCACTGCTAAACTAGGGGCCTTTCTATTTCTAAAAGGAGGTGCTGACTGTTGTTTTCTGTTGCAGTATTGCAGCCTGTCAGTGATTAGATTCAGTACAGAAAAGGCAGGCAATTTCATTTGCTTTTTCACATTGGCCTTGCTGTGAAAATACATCTCAGAGGACACGAATGAGAAAGGTGGAGTTTAAGGCTTATCTTTAAAAGTTACTTTTGCTATTAAATTAGTATTCTTGATAATTTAAGTGAGAACTTTAGATTCATCATCAAATGCCAACAGTATTTTGCTTTGCTGGGGTCTATGCTTTGCTTTAATGAAATCCACAGGCACCACCCTTCTGGTCTGCGGAGGGAAGAGACTCACTGTTCCAACAGCAACAAGGAAAACAGTGATGGTTTTGCTTTTGAAACATCTCTAAATACTTCATACATATTATCACAGAGCTGAAGCTTGCCAGCACCAAGAGCAGTGTCCCAGTAGCCTGGTGCTTGGGAAGCTTTTTGCTGCTGCCCCTCTGTCCTGGAGCCCAGGCCTGTGCCCCAGTTGCTCATTTCTAAACCTGTTTGCTGTGATGCAGAGTGTCGCGTGTATTTTAAAAGAAGGAAATGGATGCCCAGGCACCCTGCAGGGACAGGACAAAGCCACATCAGAATGACATTTCTGTTGGAAAATGTGTTTGGCCTATGACGGTAACAGGCATCATCTCTGATTGCTAATGAGAACAAATTGTCTCTGCTGGTGTTGTGGGATCTGTCTGTTCTGTTTCCTTTGCACATACTGAATTGGCCACACTTTGCTTGAGTTATTTTCAGTGCTACTGTGCAGTACAGCTGACTACTTGATGCCCTTCTAAATATAAGCAGGGGCAGAAAAGCTTTGGCTTGAAAGTATTTGCAAAAATTCCTTAATGGCAAACAGAAGAGTAATATGAAGTTGTATAAACTGAGTTTACCACTATGCACAGCAGTAATCCCACTGCAATTAGCATGGGCCATGCTCAGGCTACTGACAAGCAGCACCCTTTGAATCTTTCCCAATAAAAATATAGACAATAGTAGCCTGATGCTACCAAATTCCACAGGCATGGGGCACTGTGACCTGTGAGGTCTTGGCAGCTGTGAAGAAGAGGAAGGCATGCCTAGAGCCACAGCCTCTTGGTGGGACTAGCACCTAATACTCCCAATACTGAACCGTGGCAGGTAGGATGTGGTGTTGGGACACACTCCATTGCTACGTCACTGCACTTTGTCCAAGGAGCAGGTGAGTTTTTGTAGATTTGGGACCTCCAAAATCTCATCCTCCATCCATTAAAAAATAAGTGAACAAATGTAGGTTTGATATACATCACCTGCTTCTCATGGTCCTGTAGCTGAGCAGTTAAGTTCTGTAGCAACACAGCACTCTCCTCAGCTTTTCTGAAGGCATCAGTGGAGAGGGGAAGAGCTCCACTGCACTTTGGGCCACCACACAGCCTGACTCCGTGGCTGTCCCGGCACAAAGCTCCCCCGCAGGCTGCTGTGACACAGGGCTGGTCTCCTGGCACACCACAGATCTGCAATAGGGAAGATGCCTATGTCAAGACTCCTCTGGGGACCTGAGGCACAGTCCTTGGGGAAAGGAAAATGTTTCAACAGTATACGAACATTGAACATTGTATGGGATTTTCCTGAAGAGATGGTGATTTGGTCTCTCCAAAGATGGTTGTCCTGCCAGTCACACGTACCCCTTCCTTGTCTTGAAGAACACAATGGCAGCCCATGGCTTTGAGACTTTGCTTGCAGGAGCCATTTGTTGGGCTCCATGTGTTGTATTAAGAGCCTTGCTTCACTCCTCTATGGCAAAAGGGCTGAAACTGTCCCTGGCCATACCCAGGCTGTAGGTCAATGGCTTGTTCCAAAGGATCCAGATCAACTCTCACAAAACATGGTACCATGTCTACCCCTCCATATAATTTGACACAGATGTTGAGACAAAAGGCCCAGATGGATGATTTCTTCCATCTCTGGCAGCATTGGCTGAAGGTGCTATCAGGAACTCTCTGCTTCCCCCCAGGAAGACAGAAAATCCTTCCTCTCCCATGGGTGCTGCAAAGGATGCATGAGCACTCTCCAACCACTCCAGGGAAAAGATGCTCTCCTTAGTTTAAGTTTGGGGTTAATCTTTCTGAATTTACACAGAAGTCCTCTTGAGACTAGAGAGTGTTTAAAGAGCTCCTTGTGCTGGGCCTGCCCTGGAAGCAATGGCTTCCAGAAGGGTGGTAGTAACCACAGCTGAGAAGTGCAGCTGTTTCTGACGTGACTGCACCTCTGTGCCAGCTGGGGAAAGATTGTTTTCCAGAGTTAAAATGCGTGCAGGCACCCTTTTAAAATAAAAACTACCAATGACATGAAAAAAAGATATTTTTTTTTGTTTAGCTCCCATTCAAAATCCATAGGGCCTACCTTTTCATTCAAGTTTTGGATGTTGGGGCTCTTCATCACCTTGAGCTGCTCCAGCACATTGCTTTCTTTCAAGGCCTGCTGTCCCAGCATAGCGAGTGCATGGTTCCTGGTGTACTCTGAGTATCTTATGATAGGAATTGTCCCACTGCTCTTCTGCTCTGCCAGCAAGGATACTTCAAAATGTTTCCTAATGTTGCTGATGGCTTCTATAGCAACAGAAGCAGAGTTTAGTTCTGATTGTATTTTGGTTGCATTTAATTAATACATGTACTTGATTTCTGGAAAAATGGTGAGTGACAGGTGATTCAGTTTGTTGTCACTAACTGGGAGGGATGGGCAGGAGCTGCCATTTCCTCAGGCAAACTTTCTAATGGTTTACTCAGCCAGTTGCCAAACAGGAATAGTTATTGACTCCATTAAAACCTGCTAAAATAGATGCAAGTACAGTGGATCCCATGTCATTCTTCAGAGTCCAAGGTGTGTAAGAAGCCAATGCAAGACACACAAGTATGAAGGGGATCCCATTAATGACACAAACCGCTACTGACCTGCATTCATCAGTAGCTCATGCACTGCTGCCATTGTTGATTTGATAAAGCTCCTGTCATTTATACTGGTTATAATTCTAGGCAGGTGGATTGTTTCTGCCAATTGTAAAAACTATAAAATTATCAGCTTTTTGACTCTGAGTCAGGAAAGCATTTGTCCTGTCTCTGTTTAGCATAGCACCCAAAAGTTAAATGCTCTGCTGAACTGAGGCCAAAATTTAGATTACAAATGGGAATGTATGGGTTTTCTATGGCTCTAGAAAATCTAATTTCAGGGTTGATGTGTTAAAAAAAAGTGCATTTCCATTATAAGCTTGTAGGCCAAACAAAAAATATTTTCCAGCAAGACTCTTTCTTGTTTGTGTAAGCTTTCCCTTAAAGAGACTCAAAAGGTTGGATAATATTACTTTTACTTTATTACTTTTTTTTTTTTTCCAGATTAATAGAATAAGGAAAGGATTCAGGCCTTTTGCAAAACACATAATTTGATGCTGCTGTCGAGGCTTCCCAGATCTCCAGAGAACCCAGTTTTCCCCAAATCCCCAGGCTGAAGTATGTGCAATGAGCCAGAACTGATGTGTCGGCAGTGAAAAAGCATTAGAGGTCATTGATTAGCATCCCTCTCTGAGCTGGAAACTGACTCAGTTACTGGTCAAAGTCAATGACAAGGCATTGTCAAGTCCTGTGTGCTTTGAATCAGGCACTAAAGACTTTGGCCTTGCTTTAAGTTGAACAATGTTTAGTTATCATGTGGAACCAGGGCTATTTATTTTATCTTGTAATTCATGGAAACAATGTACAGTTTAAACTTAGCTCCTAATAGAAAATACCTGGCAAGAGGCTGCTGTAACTCCGTATCTAAGCCAGAGACCATTTTCTGTGCAACAATTCAATTGCAGGAATATTTTACAGTGGTTCAGTCCTCCATTAAGTGGCCCAAATGCATTTTTCACACTTGGTTTGTGATGGAGCTGTAGAAGTTCCAAGTTCCTTCACATTAAACACAGCACCAGGCTTGATTTACAGCCCAGGAAGCCATCCTCACTGCACTACCATATCACAGTGGCTGCAGAGCCAGAGCCAAGGCTGGAAAGCCATAGTTTAATGACATCTCACAAACTGCAAACATTCTTTTAAGGACGCTTGTGTCTCCTTTTTGCCAGTGATTTTAATTAATCATTAGGTATTGACATTTCCAGGTCAGCTGGCAGAATGTAATCCTGTGAGGAAGTCTCTGAGTCCTGAATACTTGTCCACTTGATCCTCTGCTAAAAAAGTAGGTAGGAGCCTGTTCCCCATGTGTGTCCACAACACAAGTGGCAAGTGTACCTCAGGTGGGGTACATGGCCATATCCTGCTCTACCCTGCTTGCTTGGACCAGCAAAAAGGAGCCATACCTAGCATGTGCTGCTAGTCCTGAAATGAAGATGGAGAGAGGGAGCAAGGCTTTCTCCTGAGTATCAGAAAAGTTGATTACCTTGTTGGGAATGTTACTTGTGTGCTGTTAGATGATTGGTAGCAAGACCAATGAATATTTTTGGCCCTGACCAGAAATTCAGCTTTAATTCAAGGTCTTCCTCTCCCCACATCCCCATGTGCTTTTTATAGGGATGTTTATCCATCTCCTGAGGCCAAAAGATGAAGTGGGTTTGGAATGTGACCAGACAGCACCATGGATGCTTCAGCTGTGCATCCATTGACCTCCCTAGGATTTATTGTTTCTTTGCCTTCCTGCCTTTCTCAGAGTCTGCACAAGACTCAGTTGAATTGGGAAAGCAGAGCCTGGGAGAGCTGTGCTGACTGCTCCTGCAGGGACCTGAGCGGAAGAGCTGGCCCCAGGGGCACTGCCAAGTACAACAGGGAAGGGGAGTACTAGATTTTAATTAATCCCCCTTTTCCTCTCTTCCTGTCCCTTGGCTTTGTATTCTGTTGACTTTTCCTTCTATTTTTTCAACCTTTTCTAGGCCAATGTTTTTCTCTCCTGAACAAAACACAGAGGAACTGTAAATGGCAGTATATTGCCTATAGCTCCTGTCTTCCGTGGTGTCTATGTTGTCTTCTGGGCATTCATATGTTGGCAGCTGTCTCCTTGGAGAGTATACTGCTGACAATCTCTTGCCACTATGATGATTTAGCATCTGTCCAAGATCCCTGACTGATATTTCCCCATCTTTCTCCAGAAACCAGTCTGTGACATTGTCATTACTGCTATTAGCAGCTGATGGAGTCTATATTTAGCTCAAGCACAGACAGTGTAATTATTTCTAAAACGCCAAGGAACTCAGTTCTGACTTCACATTTTTGGTGATGGAGAGCTAGTTCCTTACCACATAAAGTAATGTATTTTCCCATGGGAACACTAAGAAGTTGCACTCTGACTCTCTGCTTTAATTAAACAAACCATTGCTGTGCAACATTCTTTATGTATTGCTAAAAACAAGTAAGTCAGAAGTGGAGAAAAAATCCTTTGCTGTTCTATCTGCTGCTGTATGATTTGTGAGACTATACTTGGAAACTGGGTGGCTTTTAAATCCTGATGTAAACATCAGGGTTCATGAGACTTCTGACTGACATGACCCCGGCACAAGCATCTGAAATTTAAGGTGCTAGAAATCATGGCATGTTAAGATAAAAGGGAGTTTGGAAAGTCAGCATAAAGTGTTTTTAGCATTTACATTTTTGCACTACCAGAGAAAGCTAAAATCTAGGGAATTTTGAAATGTTGTATGGTTCAAGGGTGAGAAAAAGATCCTGAAATTTCAAAGAAAATGTTCAATTATTTCAATTAATTGCTGGCTGCCTTACCTTTGAGGTTCAAGTATTGGAAACTTTGATGCAGATGTATCTTCTGTTGTAGACGTTCATACACAAGGTCAGCTTCTTTCCCAATGTCCTCTATGTTCTTGCTAAGGTCAGGAAACTCATACAGCATACTGTGAAGGGCATCCATTTGTGCAACTTCTTGCCTGAAAGGGAACCAGCAATTATGCAGAAGTCAGATCGGATTGTCCTTAAACTAGAACTGAGATACACAACATTTTAGGGGACAAGAGATAGATTTCTAAATTAGCAGAAACATTTACTTGTAATGGCTTATTTAGACAACTCTTAGGATGAGCTGGAAAATTCCAGCATTTAAGTATATGCCTGCGGGGGACAGATGATTTCTAAAAAGACTGTTTTGTTCATGGATCTATTGAAAACAGTGACTTAGTAGTCCAACATATGTGTGCTGATCATAAGTGGACTTGATGTGTAGGGATGACTGGTGGAGCCCAGGGAAAGACTGCTTTCTCAGCCAAGGGATTTTTTTAGGAGCAGCCAAGCCCTTACTGAATGTAGCCCTGAAAATCCTTGATGCCTGAGAGGGCTTTCAGTGAAAGAACAGGATGTCTCAAAATTCTTTCAATTTCAGAAATGGCGTCTTCAAAGGCTTTGAAGCGCATGTCACAGCTGGGCATCCGTCCTCCTTTATCTTCGAGATTTGCAGCAAACCTCATTAACCCCTGAGCAGTCTCAGCGAGGGCAGTAATTTCAGTGTCCCACTGATTAAAACAAAGATGACACTGGTGGCAAGAGGGAAAGTCCTTCTCAAAGCCGCGGCCGCACTGGTCGCAGAACCGGCCGGTGACACCAGCGCGGCAGTTACACGCGCCGGTGGCTCTGTCACACTTGGGCTGGCTGGTTCCCTCTGGGTTACATTTGCATGCTGCAAGAAAGGGACAGCAGGTTACACCCAGTTGTTCCTTTATCATGGGTTTAATGCATGCAAAAAGTACAATCGTGCAGTTCAAGGCAATAAAAGCAAAGCAGTGGTTGAGTTACAGCCAAGTGGACTGCCTGGCTAACGGCTCTTCTGCATGTCTGACTTCCATCTTCCCATCATAGTCATAGAAGGAACAATATAGATAAATAATATAAACACTTTTATCCATCTCATACACACAAATGTATGAAAGCCTGCTTCTCAAGATCCGTGTTCCATCTCCCCTATGAATATAAAAGGTAAATGTTTCTTTGAAGGCAGTTTGTCCCCACACAGTAATACTTACAAATGCAATGTGCCTGGGGATTGCCAAAGTAATTTTCCTCACATTCATCACAACATCTTCCACTGTAACCTGGCTTACATGGACACTGGCCTGTAAGCTGTAAAGACAGTCAGGATTAAATAACTTCCTGCAGAGTCATATGGCTGGATATACATTGTTTACTGGTTTTCTCTTTCTCCCTGTGGCTCATGTCATGCAGCTGTACGGGGACTGCAGTGACATTGCTTGCACATGGTCTTTGAACACTATGGTTTGTACAGCATTGGCCCACCTTTGCCATTTTCCTCCTGAAGGCTGTGAAAACTAAATGGACTTTGAAAGATGGCCTTTCTTTACTAATGTAAAAGATTTTATGTGTTCCAGTCTACAGATGCTATTTTGAGAACTGATCCTCTGACTATGATCTGAGAGAGGATTATTTTTCTTTGCAAAACAGATTAATTTATTGTTTTTGCTGGAGCAAAGTATCCATCTTATCATTTCAATTTTAACTACATGACTAACTGTAACCAAAAATCTCGAGGGTATATTATGCACATTGCCCTCAAAAATTTATTTTGGAATTCAGCTATTAAAAAAAACAACAGGGAATTACAGCTCTGATAACTGGTATAGCTCAGAAAAGCAGTAGTAATTCTCTAAGGTTAAGAGGTAGGAAAAATACTAAAACCACTAAATAAACTGAAAGAAACAGAAAGCATACTGAAAGAAAAATGTGAAAGAACATCAGCAAGAGCTTAGGATAAGCTCCTGGTGCTCTGAAGTCAACAGCAAAATTGCTGTTGACTCCATGGGACCACAATTTCACCTCTCTATTCTGAAATACTTTTATTTTTTCTACATTCTAGCCCTAAAATCTGCACAGGAATTAAAGATGATAAAAAGTACCCCAGCAGTCAGAGAGATGAGACATGATGCTCATGTCTCATACAGCTGCTACTGTATGAAAAGAAACAGTTTAAAAAATACTCATAAGACTCCTGGATCCAAGCCTGCACTTCCTTCTTCCCTGTACCTATACTTACGAGGCATTTTTTTCTAATGTGATAGTTTCTTGCAAAGTATTTCTAAGATCTGCTTGACAAAGAAACACAGGCGAAGAGAAATTCCTTGCAAGCAGAGCCAAATTATCAGAACAGCATGTTTGATATAATGACTCAAAGTCTGATCACACCAACTGCAAACTTCCAAAGATTTCTTGTTTTCAGGGAGCACAACAGAAAACTACCTTCATTTTTAAGAGGGTCCCCCCCATGCTAGAACACCACCACCCCAGTTCCCAGGAAGCATAGTAATTGTCTTGCCTGGTTGCACTGGTTGCTTTGGGAGTTTTTTGAATCACAGTCACAGACCTGGCATCCTTTCCCACTAGCCAGGCCCCAGTACCCAGAGGCACAATGGTCACATGTCACACCCACCACGTTGGGCAGACAAGGGCAAGCTCCTGTGGCTGGGTCACACAGACAGGTTGTGTCCCCCCCCGGGCACATGGCAGGGTGGACACCTGCTGGATTGCACGTGCACTCTGGAAAAAGGAGGACAATTACTACAGCAAATTATAGTACAGACAGTTGATGGGCAATCAGAGCTGTATATAAAGCCCATGCTGTTGGTTTGCATCTAGTAATCTTGAACACATTTTCAGTCTTATACAGTTTACCTGTCATTCTGTAATAGCTTGTATCATTTTATGATTCTATGGTCACTCTGACCAACTCACTGGGAACATTCCCTACTTCCAATACAGGCCAAAAAAATGAAGGCATAGTGAATTTTTGATCTTATTAGAATGAAATGTTAAATATGCAGGGTAAGGAGGGACTATCCAGAGCGGGAAACCCCAGTAAGCCAAGTAAGATAAGAAGCCTTCTTCATGAGGAGCCAAAAGTTCTTGCTTAACCTTTTCTAATAGACATCTTCCAAGAGTGAACAAGGAATGGGCTTGAACTGTATTTTTGAGATTCCCAGAAGAAGAAATTGGAAATACCTGTAATTGCCTAGCCTGTAGAAATTGGACCCTTGGTGAGGAACACTGGTGAAAATACTTTTTGAGAAACACTTTTCCTTACACTCCTTTCTGTTAAAAGTGCTGAATTACTGACAGTGTCCTCATGGAGTTTATTAAATTGCCTGAATAGTTTCATTCTATCCACTTAATGAAAACAATTGGTAAGGCAGGGAGCTCAGCAAGGGATCATCTGGTTAACTGAGCACTGCTTAGTTGGCATTGGCTGGCAACATGGATAAACAATTATCTTTGATCCCTTTACTTTTGATTCCTTCCTGAATGGGCTAAATGCACATTTGTTTTCCTTAACAGAGAGTACTGATTTAATTTCACATCTGAGTATTTCCTAGGAGTGATATGCAGTATGAGATTTAGTGAGACTTGGATGACAAGGAATTTAATAGGTGCCATATTAACAGTTATTTGTATTGCTGGATAGAAATATATTCAGTATTCTCGTATTTTGCTCCACTGATGTGCTTTACTTTTACTGTGCCTCCAAGGGCTAACCTCTCCCTGTAGCCTAATTTCTTTTTAAATTTTCCTAGTAGTAACACTAGGAAATACAGCACAGTTTTAGTGCTGTTCCTTACTTACTTTGACAGTTTTGATCGAGGGCTGAGCCAAAATATCCTGGTTTGCAGAACTGGCAGTTTGCTCCATGGGTGTTGTGCAAACACTTGGTGCATTCCCCGGTGACCCTGTTACAGGACTCTGGGTCTGTCACATCAATGTTGTTATTGCAGGGACATGGTGCACAGCCAAGCCCAGGCTTGCCAGGGTTTTTGTAGAACCCACTAGGACACTCATCACACCGACTGCCTGGTGAAGAGAAAGGTAAAGAGTATTTGCCGGCTGCTGGGAATTCAAATGAAATGTGATTTCCAGTAATGCTGTTAAAAGATTCAGACTGTCTGTTAAAATGCACATTTCCAATGGAAAATATCCACCTGTTTGAGACTGTTGCCCTTTATTTCCATAATCAGTTTAAATTACATCTCCTGCACTGAAATCGGATGGAAATGCACTCTTCTCAAGTAACTTTTACCAAGGAAGTACTTTCAGTAGGAGTAAATAGTTACACACACACAGCACCTTCAAACATCTTTTTCCAGCAAAGTCTTTTCAGGAAAAAGTTCTTTAGTGTGAGGATGGTGGTGGACTGGAAGAGGTTGCCAAGGGAAGTTGTGGATGCCCCATCCCTGGAAGTCTTCAAGGCCAGGTTGGTCAGGTCCCTTCCAACTCAACCCATTATGTGATTCTACAATTCAATGGCAGTGGTCAGTGATGGCCACATCTGCAGGACTTTCCCTGGGGCCTTTACCCCAACAGCAGGAAGGTGAGGAGCTCCCTTCCACAGAGCAGCCCAGAGCCCAGCAGACCTGCTCTCCCTTCTGTAACGCAGTGGAGAATCCCCAGGAGGTCAGATGAGCTTTGGAATGCTTGTCCTTGCTTGCTGGCATTGCAATTACTTCAGCATGCCATCCTAATGACCCTCCCAATTGGGGTGCTACCTCTCTGCACCTCAGAAACCTTTCTGGGCAGGCTGGTGTTGCTGGGAACTCATCCATTGGCTCATCCTCAACCAAGGACTCTGCTCCTTTGCCATGGTCCTCAGGACCAGAGCCTTTCTGTGGTGTTTGTGAGGACAGAAATCTCCTGGGTGAGTACCAACAAGGGTCATTTTGGACCTACAGCAATTGCTCAAGCAGAACTGCTCTTGACTTATAAAAGAACCCAGCCTAAGTAAAGATGACAGCATTGGTTTAGTTTTTGGCAGTATTTCCCAATAAGGTTTGCTTGCATCATAGGAGATCTTTTTGGAGTTTAGGGGGAAGGAAATATCTTCAGGTTTCCCTGTAGAAATTAAAGTAAGTCAATGGGATCTTAAGAAGCAAGGCATCAGTTTGCTGCAAAAATATCTGCCTTTGAGACAGCTGAGATTGGAAACCTCATTTCTAAAGTGACCATTTGAATGGTGAAACAGTCACTTTTGGGCATAATGTCAAAGCAAGATTCCTCTATAGGGAGAAAGATTTTATCTAATTAGGAAATCCTACCAGCTCTTTTTTGATGCCCTCTTCTTTCCCATTTGGGCTCCCTACACTTGTTTGTCAAAGGTAACAAGCAACTGCACTTCTCCCTCCCTCTCTGCACCAGGTTAATGTATCATGTGTGGAAAGGAGGAGGTTTCCAGACTGCCATCAGATTAGTTAATGTCTTTACTGTATCCACATAGGTGAATCCCTTTTTTGAACACTAATTGTACTAATTCCCACTCTTCTCAGTCAGGACTTCCCTACCTACTATCAGTAAATTTGAGTGTTAATTTTTCTCATCTATTTTATTCCTATTATCTCACTTGTAATTTCTGAACAGGGGATGGGGAGAGGATGGTCATTATTCTCTCTTACATTACATTTTAATATAATCAAAACCAGTCCTTATTTTGCTTTGTACCTGAATATCCCTTGAGACAATTGCAGATCAGTTGTGCAGTCTGGGAGTCCTGGTAACAGGAACGTGCAAAATACATATTACTTGTAGGTTCCCCTGGGCACATGCATGGGCGACAGGGCTCTCCCTTCAGAGGGTCTCCGTAGTAGCCATCCATGCACCTGTCAAAGCAGTCAAAACAAAGAAGCAGGAATTGTCAAGTACTCCTTTCAGTCCCTGCAGGTGAATCAATGTATATGTATCTGTAATTAATTAAACATTTCAGGTAATTGTAATGCTATCCCCAGTAATTCGTACTGATACATCCAGCTGCAAAGGTGTTCTAAAATGGTTCTAAATCAGAGCTGCACTCCCAAAATCTGAAGCAAAAAGAAAAAGACATATGGCATATTTTCAAGGGATATTTCTGAAGACTTTTACCTATTCTGGAACCATTTTAATCTAAATTATAATAAATACATATGACATACCACACATGTTCTGCATAGGCAGTTAAAAGCTGCCCTTTAAAATTCTCTATATTCACCTATCACCACATTTCCATACATACACACAAATCGTGGCTGGCATGACATTAGAAAGTCTTGGCATAGGCAAAAAAGCATCAATTCATTCAGAGGACTCAGAGAATATTGCATATTTTAGATGCAGCATATGGATGGGAATCAGCCATGCTCTGCCCAACATGTTCTGCCCCAGGGTGAGGACAGCTTGGAGGCAGTGGTGGCTGTGTTGTTACCCAGACAGGTGGGGGGCTCTGGGGGCTTCTTGGGGGTTCACCACCCCCACCACCCTGCCCATCACTGCTTCCTCTGTGCCTGGCCCCCCACTGCTCTGCAGCTGCTGCAATACAGAGGCTCCCGAAGCATCCTCACTCTTTGATCTGCTTTACTATGGCAAATGTGGACACAGTTCTCTATATGTATACAAGCCAGGCTAAAAGTCTTGGCTATTCAATTACCCTCTCCCTGGGGTCTGGAGCTCCTACAGACATGCAGGACAACAAGTATTTCAGGTTTCCATTTTTATTCTATTTGCCACCTACAAGCACAATAGCTAAAGGCTTTATTGTCCAAAAGCACTGCAAGAAAAGCTCAATAGGTTTAATGGGGAAATCCTCTTAAAAGTGAATTACAAGGTACAATCCAGCCAAACTAAACTAAACAGCTAACAAATTTAATTCTGATGTCCTTGTTGAACTCTGATACTGCTTACCAGTGAATGGAATAAAAAAGAGGAGCACTGGTTTGAATGGAGCTGGAAGATGTGGGAAAAGAAATTTGCTGGTCGTAAGGAAATAATATGAGCCAGCAAACAGGGCATGTTTATCTAAGCTCCTCAGAGATAACTGCAGATATTAAAGTGTTCAGCACGAGTTCAGCCTCTTGGCAGCCCCAGAGCCGGCAGGAACCAGTGTGTCTCACGTGCAGCACTTTGCACGTCTCCAGGCACACTGAGCTGTGGCACTCGTGCCTCACACGCAGGGAGCCAGCTGCAACGCTGCAACGCTGCACGGGTACCGTGCTCGGGGTCCTCCCACAGGCGTTACATGCGCTTTCCCACATGCATGTGCTGAACAAATGCAGAGAGGCCCAGTTTGATGCTGGTACGTGTTTCCAGTTAAGGTCACTGCTGCATCCACAGGGACGCGGGCGGGCCCCCCGCCCCTCACGCGTTCCGCAGAGCACCGGCGCTGGGGTGAGCTCTGCAGAGCCGCCCTCCCCCGTACCTTTCGCAGCGGGTTCCGGCCGCCAGGCCGCGGCAGCGGAGGCACAGCCCGGTGCGCGGGTGGCAGAGCTC